AACATTCATTGATCATCTTATTACATTTGAAGTCAACTCAGTTACAGACTTTAGTTTTAATGTGGGCATCAAATCATCACCTTTGAATATATTTTAAATTCATTGAATCAGCTGTTGGTCAGGTTAGTTCTTGTTGAGCCATTAGCTCTAAAGTAGTTACTGAATCAAGGGTTTACTTCCATCCATCCGTGGGGGTAGCAGCCTAAGTGGGGAGGCCCAGACTTCCCTCTCCCCAGCCACTTGGACCAGCTCCTCCAGGGGAATCCCAAGGTGTTCCAAGTGTTTTCTTATGTAGGTAAAACGTTGGTTATGTACTGTAACCCCAGATTCTATGAGTATAAGCGTAGCCCTTTAAGGCTGTCGCTTGTGGGTTTTATCCCGTCACGCAAAGCGTCGCACTGAAAAATTTAGTCCACGCCCACCTGTCGTGTGGGCCCCACCCGGTCCGTATAAATTACGTTGAGAGCGGGTAATCGGCTCCCAAATAGCTTTTTTCTTCAGCCGTTCAGGAGTTTTACGTGGCGGAGCTGGATTTTTAGAGTTTCGGCTCTCGTTTGTGATAAATGGGCCCTCATAGTGACAGAGTTTAGCTCCACTCCCAGATAAAAGATCATCTGGGCCGGGAGAATCAGGCTCTTCTCCCAGTTTATGACGAAGCCGAGATTTAACAGGTGTGACGTCAGCGCTTTGGTTTGCGCCGCTGCTTCCTGCCTGGATCGGGTCAGCAACAGCAGATCGTCCAGGTAAAACAGAATTCTCATCCCTGCTCTGTGTAGCGGCTTCAGAGCCGTCTCCATGCATTTTGAAAACGTGCGTGGTACGAGGGAGTAACCGAATGGGAGCCTGTTGTATTGGTACTGGGTCCCTTGGAAGGAGAAGTGCAGGAACTTTCTGTACTTTGGAATGATTGGAATGTGCAAATAAGCATAGGGCTGAGTACCGAACCGAGGTTCTTTTATGGCACCGACCGAACTGCACCAGTCGGTGTATGTATTGAAACGTCACTCTTGTTTCGGTGTCAAGTTTCGGTATTGGCTGTAACGTGTCATGTGGTTTCAGCATGCAGGCAGGCAAAACACCAGACTTATGACAAACAGACTACACCCAGATTACACCCAGAGCTGTATAGAGCTGCCGTACCGAATCTATGTATACTGTAATGTATGTCTATGGTGCTGGTGACGCCCACAGACGAGTTCACGTGTGCAGAAAGTTGCTCCGTGTTTTTCTGCGAGGAGAGAGGAGTTCATTATCCTCCCTCCTCCTCCTCCCCCTCTCAGCATTAGTCAACCTGTGAGTAGAGCCTGAACGTCCTGATTCATTATCTCCACGACCGGACTCTTCATCAAAGAACTCCGAGGACGGCTCTTGTGTTTCAGCTGGTGAGTTTATGTTTGTTAACGCAACTGCAGCTTAACACGTACATGGCGGTGAAATAAATTATGATCCATGTAACGCTAACTTTAAAATATTAGTGTGTAAATTTATTTTATCTACGTAACAAGCTAAACTCAGAAGCTAACTAAAGATTGACAGTAACCGATGAAGCTTAGCTTGTAAAACTGCTCATCCATCTAGTCAGCTGCTTAAACAGTTCAGTAATGTTCACTGTTTATGTTCATGTTCTCCTCACAGGAGGTTCTGACCCAGATGTGAGGACAGACAGAAAAGTGAGGTGGGGGCCACAGGACAATCAGACTTTGTTGTTAAAAATTTGCTGCTTTTTCTACAGTGGAGCTGCATGTTGGAGGTAAATTAAACTTTAAAGGATTTTATTGACCAGTTAAACCTTTATCTCTCAGCCTAGATAATGTTTTTTGATCAATAATAACACAGCCATGTTATTGTTGATGTTTTGTTCCAATGTCAATTAGGGAGATGATCAGAGCCCTGAACCCCAGAGAACCACAGAGAAGATTCAGGCAGAGGGACAGAGGTGCAGAAGTCTGCATCAACCTTAACCTCAGTGAATCCAGAGACCTGCTGGTGGAATGTGAGGGAAAATATATCAAACTGACAACCAGGTATCTGTGTGTGCAACAATCATCATCTACAGCCTCAGAGTGAACATGTTCTACTGCTGGAGACACCATCAGCCAGGAGCAGCTGGTTTGTGTCCAGAGAAACAGACATGTTGATGTTTCTGAAGAAAAACTGAAAAGGTCCTCGGTGTGTAGCAGTGACCATTACACACTGATGTGTCACTGGTTTGAAACTGGTCTTTTGAACTGGAAATTATTTGTTTATTTTTATGTAAGAAAACTGCTGGGAATAGAAAAATACTAAAGTTTAAAAATAAAACTCACAATTTGTACTGTAATGTGTAACATAATTTTATTCTTGTTAGAATTAATATTAATTACAAAATTGGTGCCGAAAAAAAGAACCGTCCAGGAACGGACACCGAAGTGAAGGTACCGACACTGATTTTTTTAGAAACGTACCCAGCCCTATAATTTACAAGTTTCACTTTTTGAATGGAGTTACTGAAATAAATCAACTTTTTCATCATATTCTTATTTTATGACCAGCACCTGTATTGTATCGTGTTCGATTAGCGTATATCTTAGATCCTTGTATAGTGTTTCTTTTAACACTATATATTTACTCTTTCAGGGATGAAGATGTTCACATCCTGGACAGAGAGGAACGATGGTTTGAGAGAGGAGTAAAGGAGGCCATCTTTGTGAAAAGAAACCGTCCATCATTAAACAGGGGTGGAGCCTCCAGGTTCAACTGTCCCCCTCTTACAATGCTGTGATTGCTAGTATCACTCAGCCCTCTGTGAACAGTAAACAGCCATCAGGTGCTAATGATCCATTGTTAGGCTGATGGTCCTTCTTGAGCATGTGA